TCTGGGACGGGAGGGGAGCTGGTTACGAAGCCCTGCACTCTGTGTATTGTCTCTGTGTGAGGCACCGATGATCACTTCCCTTAGAATTCAGATCTAGAGATGATTTCACTTTCCTGAAGACAAAGAGGCCACATGAGCTGCCCCTTGCTTATTGCCTCTGTCTTGCAGGAATCGCAGAGCAAAAGCAGTGCGGAGGGGACGGTCCCCGTTAGCCTGAGGATTTTGCAATGTGTGTGTCTCCCTCTACTACGTATTTATTTGCTTGTTGGGGTGAGGAGGGCTCACTGAGCGCTCAGTGTGTGTGTGGCATTGCACTCACTGCTGGCCGAGAGGGACACGTGCTGCAAGGTCCTGGCCCCCGAGAGCTCACAGTTAGGCAGGAAGTGCCCAGAGGAGCAGGTGTCAAACGTAGACAAGAGGCTGCAAGGACGTGTGCACAGGTGCTCTGAGCCCAGGCAGAAGGGCGGCGTTTACCTGCCCAGGCACGGAGGAGGGAAGTGACAGTGGCGAGGAGGTCAGGCACGGCTGCCCAGAGGAGGGATGGGTAGGTGCGTTTGCCAGGTAAAACACAGGACCCCCAGTAAAATTTGAATTTCAGATGAACAAGGAATAATTTGCAGTCTAAATGCGTCTCATGCAATATTTGAGACATCTTTATAGTTAAAAAGATTTCTTGCTTATCTGAAGTTCAGATTTTGCTGAGTGTCCTATATTTTTATTTGCTCACCTGGGCACCCTATGAGTAGGTGGGAGTTTGCACAAAGGGCATTGCAGACAGAAAAACAGCACGTGCAGACAGCACGAGCGGCCACCAGACTGCGAGAGTGTGAGTGCTCCCCGAGTAGGAGGCCGGGCGAGGAAGAGGGAGGGCTGGGAGATGAAGCCCCGGGGAACTGGGAGGCGGGATCTTGATGTTCTCCTGGGGTTTTGTTTTTTTTCCTGTGGGCAAAGTGTCTGCCAGGGTCTTTTTTTTTTTTTTTTAAATGAGAGGAGAGTCTCATTCTGTTGCCCAGGCTGGAGTGTAGCAGTGTCATCACGGCTCACTGCAGCCTCACACTCCTGGGCTCAAGTGATCCTCCTGCCTCAGCCTCCCAAGTAGCTGGGACTACAGGTGCAAACCACCACACCCAGCTAATTTTTTTTTGTTTTTTTTGTAGAGATGTGGTCTCACTATGCTGCCTAGGCTGTTCTGGAACTCCTGGTCTCAAGTGATCCTCCGGCCTCAGCCTCTCAAAGTGCTGGGATTACAGGCATGAGCCATCGAGCCTGGCCTGTCTGTGAAGGTTTTAGCTGGAGGAATAGTCAGTTAGATATTTTTGTCTCTATTTTAAAAGTCATCTAAAAATTATGCCTTTTATTTTTAGTTCCCTCCTTACTAGAAAGTGGCATATAAATCTACACTTTACATTTAAATTCATTAATACAGTATTAAATGAACAACTATTGTCAAGCCCAGCCGGGCAGAGCCTCCCGTGGAGAGCCGGTGGGTGTGCCCATCCTGAGCATGGCCTCGGGGCCATGGCCTCCCAGATCAGGCTGTGGCCAAGGGTATTTTCCCAAGGCTGCTACTGGTTATTAGGGTTGGAACCGACGCTGGGATGGTAGAAATGACAGGGAGCAGAGTTTTCCTTCATCCATGGAAGAACATTCTAGTGGATTGGCCTGAGCTTGGTGGCTGTGTCCCAAATAAGTGACAGGGATGCCCGGCCAGTCCCCGTCCAGACCAGTGCCGTGGAGTGCTTGCCCTGGGAAGAGGTAAGGCTGGGATTTGCCGTCAACTCCAAGATTTTAAGATTCTTCCCAGATACTCCCCAAGCCCAGAGGGGCTCAGGATGGCACATCCACAGAGGCGGGACGGAAAAGAGGCTTGTCCAAGTAAGCACATGACTGTGCCTTACCATGTCTTGCATGGAATACCACTTTAAACCTTTTGGACTTGACTGCCAACATAGCCACCATGTGCCTCACATGACCCCACATGCTGAAAACTCACGTCCTTTATGACACGGGGTGGCAGGACGGGCTTTGCTTTGCAGACGAGAATGCTGAGGCAGGAGAGACCAAGTGTCTCCTACGAGTCACCCGTCCTGTTCGGAGCGGAGCTGAGGCTGTAGCCGGTCTCCTGCCCTGGGGCTGGAATGCCTTCTCTGCATTGTGACTGACCCACAGCCACCGAGCCACGGGCAGGCCCCTCCTGCCCCCCAGAGCAGGGCTGCTGGCTAAGGGAGAGCATCGCACAGTCACACCTGATGTGACGGGGAAGGAGGGGGCGGGAAGGAGCCCCACGTGTGGGAAGAGGCCACCTGGTAGGCACTGGGGGGCCCTCGGTGACCCTGCGAGGCTTGACGGTCAGCTCTGGGCAACCAGGAGACTAAATAATGGCTCCTTAAGCTGGGGCTATGAGGCTTCGTACTTCCAGTTTTCATGGACAACCACCTGGCAGTGTGGGGAAATCAGAATTTTTTTGAAATGAATAACTTAAGTTTAAAGTTAAATTTTGTCCCTGTTTATTTAAACCATTCAAGAAGGAGGGAGGATGTGTCTCCTAGCCCAGTTCTCCCACTTCAGAACTGTGCTTTCTGGAAGCTCTGTCGTGTTGGTAGCATGTTTCAAACAGCCCTTGTTCTAGAACTTTCTCTTATATACACACAAGTGTATGTTCCTCCCTACCCCAACTTTTGCCATCAGAGAAGGGGGGACTGGACTGGATTTTGAAGTGCAAGTGTTTGACAGTATGAAGAAGGATGAAAATATTGCATATGGCTCTAAAATACGAAGTCTCCATGCTGTTCTTTCTGTCTGGTGCTGCCACAGTTTGGGGACCGGCTGGTGTGGATTAAAGTGCAGTGGATTAAAGTGCAGGCTGAGACCTGGAGCCCTTCCTTTGCAGGTGGGCCTTGGGAAGAGCCAGAAGCAGACTGGCTTTAAGATTCTGGGGTCCTCCTTGCATTAATACCAGCACTCCCTGTTTGACCTGCAGACACCCGTGGCCCCGGAGTGGCCCCTGAGGCTCATCTGCAAAGCAGCTCGACCACTGGGGCAGGGTCGGCAAGCGGAGGCAACCAAAGTCAGCGAGGGGCAAGCGGAGGCAACCAAAGTCAGCGAGGAGCGGCCAGACAGGCCCAGTCCTCCGGACCTGGGGCTTGTGGGGCTGGTGGAGGTGCCATCACCTGGACTGACTTCCAGAATTTTGCCAGTGGAAAGACCGAAGTCCTCCTACCATTTGGGAACACTGCAAACCTGGGTTCAGAGGTGAGAGGATGCTATCTGCGAACGCCAACCTTTCCAAGGAGTGAGTAAACAGACACACGTTTGGCTTGGGGCTGAGGGCCTGGAGAGAAAAGGACCCCCTACCAAATAGCGTTTTTCTCTGAATGTGCCTTGAATTGAGGCAGTTGCTGGGTCTCCTGCCTGTCTGTTCTGGTGAGGAATGTCTCCCCCAGCCTGCAGGCTGATCCTTACCAACTGTGTGGGATTAACCCTTGGCCACCCGCAGTCCTGCTCTCCCTTCTCCAGCTCCTGCCCCTTAGTCAGCTGGGCTGGCTTTGGGGCGCCTTTCACTGGCCTAGAAAATGACGGAGAATTTGCCCATCTGCCGAATCCCCCCTGCGCACCGCAGAATCCCAGTCCCGCCCAGGCGCGATTGCTTTAAGAAAATAGCCCTGCTTCTTCACAAACTCTGTTTTATTTGGATTCTGTCCATCTAGAAATTAGGTCTGCAGAGTCCAAAGCAAGCTTCCCTAGAGCTTTGCAAACAAGCTGCCCCACCAGGGCAGCGCCTCCGTGCTGTCTGCCTTGAGCTCAGATCTGCGGCGTGTTTGCCGCTTGGGTCGAACCCTCAGACGTGCTTTCGCGCCTCCTCCCCTCCCCCACCCACACTTGTGAACACAAAGTGTGCAGTCGCTGCAAACTTCGTGCGCTCTCGCGGCCGGCTCCCGGCTCTGGGCGTGGCCCTCTCTTCTCTCTCGGGGGGGAATGTCTGAAACCTGCAAGATTCTCAGGACCTCAGAGGTGGAGGGCGAGGAAGACTCCTGCTCCTGGGGGCTAGATGGAACAGCGGAGCTGTGCTTCTGCCCACGCCTCCGTCCTTTTGGCTTTTGCCTTGAGGGGCCCTTGGTTTCCACTGGAGGTCCCGGGAGGGGGTCTGAATGCGGCATGTGTGCCTGAGGCAGGGACTTGATATCCGCACAAACCGCGACGATACATGCACATGTGTTTTCAGTGTTTTGGCTTTCTGCACCACAAACATGTCGATGTGTGTGTGCATGCACCCACACACGTGCAGTCGGTTGAGCTGGGGCTTGAGTACGGTTTCTTACAATTATTTTTTTTTTAACTCTCTTCCCAAAACTAACACCTTTGTGAACAGTATTTCCCGCCACCCGGGGCAATATTCACCTGCTGCCTGCGGTGTCCGGGGCCACCGTCTGTGGTCCCGCCGGGAAAGGCGCAGCACGTTGAGCGCCGCGGACCAGCCGTGCCCGCACCTGCCCCAGCCCTCGCGGGAGCCCCGCCGGCCCTTCGCCTCGGCCTTCCTCGCCCGGTTCCTGGGAAACGACCTGTCTTTGTACTGTGGCCACGGAGAACAAAACCGAGGGCGGCAGCCGCCAGTCTGACGGGCTGCTACTTGAAATTAGGAAAAAGTGCAAAAAAAAAAAGTCTTCGTTTTCCCAGGGGTTTGCAAGTGCCACCAGGGACCCCGCTTTTCCCCAAGGCGACGCGCGTGAATTGCAGCGCGAAACCTTCCGTATCCGCCCCGCGCCTCTCTGTGACCCCCTTTTATTTGTCCCTCTCGCTCCTTTATTTATTTATTTCTGGTGGTGTTCCAGGGGGTGTTGACCTGCGCCCGGCCTGGCGCGGCGAGCCCGCGCGCGGGAGGCGATTGGTCCCCGCGCCGGTGACTGACGTGCGCGCAGTGCGGCGCGCCCCGCCGGGAGCTGATTGGCTGCGCGGGGCGGCTCCGAGGGCTCGGCCCGGGACCCCGCGCACTCGAGCGCGGCAGCCCCGGGAGTCGGTGCGGCCGCGCTCCGCGCCCAGCTCCGCGCCCGCGCGCCGCCGCGCGCAGCTCCGCGCGGCGCTCTGCGGCGGGCCGAGGGCCGCCACCGCCGGGACCGGCAGGAGCGCGCGGCCGCTGAGCCGGGCAGGGCTGGGCACGGCGCCTTTTGTCCCCGGAGACCCCTGGAAGTGTGCGGCGGGCGCGCGGAGGCGGCGGGCAGCCCCGACGTGGAGGAGCCCGCGCGCGGAGCCGCGCATGGGCGCGGGCGCGGCGCGGGGGCGCGCTGGGCCGGCCCGGGCGTGCTGCTGGCGCTGGCGGCCGCGCTGCTGGCCGCGGGCTCGGCCAGCGAGTACGACTACGTGAGCTTCCAGTCGGACGTCGGCTCGTACCCGAGCGGCCGCTTCTACGCCAAGCCGCCGCAGTGCGTGGACATCCCCGTGGACCTGCGGCTGTGCCACGGCGTGGGCTACAAGAGGATGGTGCTGCCCAACCTGCTGGAGCACGAGACCATGGCCGAGGTGAAGCAGCAGGCCAGCAGCTGGGTGCCCCTGCTCAACAAGAACTGCCACATGGGCACGCAGGTCTTCCTCTGCTCGCTCTTCGCGCCTGTCTGCCTCGACCGGCCCATCTACCCGTGCCGCTGGCTCTGCGAGGCCGTGCGCGACTCGTGCGAGCCGGTCATGCAGTTCTTCGGCTTCTACTGGCCCGAGATGCTCAAGTGCGACAAGTTCCCGGAGGGGGACGTCTGCATCGCCATGACCCCGCCCAACGCCACCGAAGCCTCCAAGCCCCCAGGTAAGGCCACCCTCGGTCCGCGGGGCGGCTCGGGCTGCGGCCAGGCGGGGACGGACCGGCCGCCCCGCCGCCCTCGCGCAGCGCCCAGCGCTCCTGCCGAGAGCGCGGAGTCCGAGGGGCGCCCGGGTCCGCCTCGCCGCCTGGGACCGAAACAAAGCCCGGGCTCCGACCCGGGCGCAGCGCTGCTCCGCCGGGAGGGCGCTGGGTCCCCGCCGAGCCTGTCGCGGCCGGCCGACACGGGCCCTCCGGTAGGAAGAAACCGAAGCCCCAAAGCGTAGAAAGCCCAGAAAGGCCGAGGGGTGCTCAGCGCAGCTTGGTTTATTTTCATAGGTTCGATGAAGACTTTAAAAAATAAAAAACATATATCTATTTAAGACTCTTTCCCTAGCTGGTCTTGGAGCCAAGTAGCCCCAGGGCTGCTGCAGACCCCGCTGAGAAGGAGCTCAGAGGCGCGGGGTTTCTGCCGCTCCACCCAGGCCCCTCCGAGGTGGAAGGTCTCCTGGCAGGCTGGCGTCCCCCACTGCTTCTCTGTTCGCACACATCCTCAGGTGATTAGAAAGATAAAAACGTAATTAGCTCATTGTTCCTCTCCTCCCGGGAGTTCAGCTCTGCAAATTGGAGACTTTCCCAAGCGGCCTGGGGGACTGGCCCAGGGTCCTCTCTGAAACCTCATCGGTTTAAAGGGAAATTCTTGAGTGGGGGGAAAAAAAATCCTGGAAAGGCAAAAAAACAAAACCAGAAAAACCCCAGCTGGTGACTTGACTGCTATAGGAGTGAGTTAGACTCAGAATTCGTGGGAAGCAGCTTCGGGGCTCCCAGGCGGGAGCGGATCTGTGTTGGGGCCACACCCCAGGTGCGCTGAGCACTGGGGCGGCTTCCTGGGGGCCTTTTCAGGAAGGGGGTGCGGAGAAGTGCAGCTGGCACACTTGGCGGTCTTTAACCTCCGTTCTTGGTTCTAAAAAGAAAGGTGTGCAGTCACCTGGCTCCCCCAAAGTGAGTTTTGGGGGTAGGTGTGAGAACAGGGGCATCCCAAATTTTGGATGCTCTTGCTTATTCTAGGGAGGGAGGAGATGGTCCGCAGTGACCGGCATTGTATGGCGGCCGGCTGGGTGGCTGGGTGGGAGAGGCAGCTGCAGTGGCCAGGTCAGGGCGCCCCTGCTCTTAGGGATGAGTTTCCGGGGACATGCAGCCCTTTGAGAGGAGAGCTGAGCTGTGACCTGAGCAAGCAGACTGTGCATGTGGGTGTGCACCCCATCCCTGCAGCCGGCAGGCTTCCCCCCTTCCTCGGCCAGCCGGGGCCTCAGCCCAGCCCTCAGCCCAGCCCTGTTCCCAGAGGCCGTGCCCAGCTCTGCTCAGCTGAGCTCGAGTCCGTTCCCGGCGGCCCCTGATGGTCTCTTTCTGGGACAGTCTTCCGGCACCGAGTGCAGACTTTGGGAGAAGAGCTGCGGGTCAGTGGCCGCAGTGCGTGGGGCAAATGGGGGACTGGATGGGGCGCCTGCTCTCCAGGGGAAAGGACCCCCTACCCCAGCCCCACAAGCGCAGTCTTCTGGACGCCAGCCTTGACTGCCGCTCTACTTGCCCGTGCCCTCCCAAGCCGGGCTTTCTACCATCCTCCTCGCTCCTCTCGCTCCGGGAGTGCTCAGGTCTCCCCAAGACCAGGCCTTTAGTGAACGAGAAGAGAAAAGCAGTGAGCAGGCCGTTCAGCGGTGGGACTCAGGGCCAGTCCTCCCTGCGGTGGTTTCGATGAGGGGCTCTGTTCCGAGAGGGCACACATTCCTCCTCCGATGCGGTCCCTGGCATGGGGGAGCCCACGTGACTTCCTCCTAGGCCGCGCTGAGTGTGGAGCTGGGGGGCTGTGTGTGCGTGTGTGTGTGTGTGCGTGCGTGTGTGTGTGTGTGTGTGTGTGTGTGTGTAGGGGCCAGGTCGGGAGAGACCAGCCGACTGGCCCTCACAACTTTGTGGCTCTGGGGGAAGAACCGGTACTTTGGGATGAGAATAAGTACACACGCACTACTCTTTTATTCATTTATTTTTTTCTTCTTTAGAATTAAAACTGAATTTCCAAAGCAAAGTCGTGTCTTTGCATAGTTTAGGCTGGATTCTGTTCACATTTGTGGGCATAGACAGTCTTGGGGGGTTGGCGTTCGGGGCCGTGTGTTATGAAGGGTGAAGCCGATGATAAGAAATGAGTCAAAAGGCATTTTCCCCCCAAAGGCTGGTGCCCGAGCCACACCAGCTGCCGTTATGGCAGAGGGAATTGTTCCTTCTCTAGGAAAGTCATTTCTAAGTCTGCGCTTCCACTAGACCTGTGGACTCCAGGCTCATAAATGGTTGTCCCCCTTTTCTGCCACGTTTTACCAATTCACGCTGTGTGAGGGCACATTGAGTTTTATTTTGTTGTTTAGCACGTTCCTTAGAGCAGCCTGGCTGTTAGTCACAGATTGCAGAGGCCAGGCGCCCTCGCTCCCCAGAGAGCCTTCCCTAGGGTCCCCGCTGGGTCTCTCAAGGGGCTGACCAGGGAAGATCGCGTGCGCGCGCATTTGTGTGTGTACACGTGTGTGTATGTGTGTATGTGTGCCTATGTGTGTATGTGTGCATGTATGTATGTATGCATGTGTATGTGTGTATGTATGTATATGTATGTATGTATGTGTGTATATGTATGTGTGTGTATGTGTGTGTGTGTGAGAGACAGACAGAGAGAGAGAGAGAGAGAGGGAGGGAGGGAAGTAGGGAAGGAGAGGTTTTGTGTGTGCGTTGATTTTTAAAAAATTCAGTTAATCCTGATTCCAGAGTCAGTCTCGTTACTCTACTCCTCCTTAACTATTAGTAAGATGCAAAGCCTTTTAGTTTTCTGTTCATTTGCTTTAAGCATTATTTTAAACACACTTTACAACGGTGGTTCAGTTCTTCTCGGCTGGACGGCTGGGTGGGTTTCTGGCGCAGAGGCGGCTGCAGGGCCGCAGGACGCACGGTGGAGGCACAGATTAAGGTTGCATTACACATTCCTCCTTTGCTTCCGGGGCCGGCTGCTCCCGGGCCAGGAGTAAGAAAAGGCCAGATGGGGGAAAGCCACGTTGAGAACACCCAGCGCCCACCCCAGTGAGCGCTTCCCTCCCTGAGGGGCATCGAGGCCCAGATGTAATTGATGGGACTAAGGACAACGCCCGTGGGGCGCAGAGTGGTAGCTGCCACCAGAGCGGGGCAACTCCGAGTGCCTGGAGGGCAGGCAGCCAGGGTGTGCCGTGGGCAGAGACGGGGCCTTGAATTCCGGTTGCTCAGCCCCAGACCTCGCTTCTTGTTTGGTCAGGATTATATTTGCAGAACCTTGCAATGTGATAACTTCTGCCTTTTTTTTCCCCCCTTTTAATAACTTAAGGGACATCCGAAAGCACAGTTTACTCTCGTGGTATAGGTGACATAGTCATTTCCATATTGAGGGACTTCCTCTCCCCTTTTTTTCCATACATGGAAGCAAGAACCATGATGCAAAATTCTGGTAAGTTCTTTCCTTTGTCATAAACCCTATTTCCAGAACCCAGTCTCAAGTTCTGAGTGCAAAGCAAAATTTCCAACATTTGGACTGTGAGGACAGTCACACCACTGTCTTCTTGGAGTGTGGCTCTTGCTGCCCTGAGAATGTGAGTGGTGTTCGGTGCTGGGCGCAGAGTGCGGGTGGGAGAGGAGTCTGTCGTGGACACTCGGGTGTGGTCTCTGCTGGGCCCTGCGGGGCCCGCTGTGTCCTGAAGGCAGCCTTGCCCCGGGGGCTGCTGCAGCTCCTCCTCCTTGTCTACTTGGAGGGTCTTCCCGTTTCACTGTCTGACCCATAGGGGGGCCACGGGGGTGGGCTGGCTGCCACAGAAGCCACTCCGGAGTGGAGGAAGACACCAGACCCCACCGGGTCTTCCGTCGCCCTTGGGGGGACTCTCCTGTGCCCTTGTGCCCCAGCCTGGTCAGCCTTCTGAGCTGTGCCGGGGATGGGGCGCCCCTAGAATGTGCTCGTGGGTTCCTTGGTGGCTGATACACTCCAGCTGCTTGATAGATGAGGAAGGTGACGATGATGATGGTAAGCCACCCCGGGAGGCCCCCACGGGACCCGGCCCTTTGCTGCGTGATCCTCCTGTGCCAGCAGCATCTCGGCTCTGCCCGGGCCCCCGAGGTCTCCTCCCCTGGCGCTTAGCTGCCTCCCAGGGCATGCCTGCCTGCCCGCACACCTGCTCTTCAGGGCGCTTCGCAGTCACCCACGGAGGGCCTCCGAAGGGCCTCCCGTCCAGGTCCAGCCCTGCCCTCCCATTTGGCAGCTCCTGGCCGTGCCCCCACCAGCTGCCCCGGCAGGAGCTCCTGCTGCGGGTGGAGAGCGGCGGTCAGGGCCCTGGGGCCGGCATGTGTGCGGATGGCTGAGTGTCTCTCTCTTGCTCCCGGGGAGCTGGTCAGCTGTCTCAGGAGTTTGGAAGTGGAGGGGCAGGAACCAGAGGGGCGTGCTGGAAGGAGAGAGGAGAGAGGACAGGGCGCACACACAACTGGAATATGAACTTTGGGTTTATAAGCCAGTGTTTTGCAGGAACCTGCCGGTCATAATTCACAGGACCTGCCCTCACCCAGCGCCGGATCGTGCTGGCTTAAATAACCGTGTCGTATTCAGAAGCTCTGGCCAGAATGTTTCAAGAAACCACGCGCCCGTTTATGGCGTCAGATCCTGGGCTCGAGGCCCTACTTTTGATTCTCAGAGCTGCCTTTGGAAATTCCAGAAGCCCTTAGCCGCCTTCGGCCAGGTCGCAGGGCCGACTCTTCCCCAGGAGTTGGTCCCCGCCCCACAGCCCTGACCTGTGGCTTCTGCTTCTCCCCCTTCTTCGCAGGCACCACGGTGTGTCCTCCGTGTGACAACGAGCTGAAGTCCGAGGCCATAATCGAGCATCTCTGTGCCAGCGAGTTTGGTAAGAGTGTCCCCGGTGGCCCTGGGGGGGTCTGGCATCTCCTGGTTTGTGTCCCTCATTTGCAGAGCCCTGCTGGGGCTTTGTTTTCTCTGTCCCCGTCCTCTCCAAGTGGCTGCTGTTCTCAGGCAGGTGGAGGACTAGGCAGGGCGGGGGGACGGGCTGGTTTCAAGGAAGTCAGACTTTGCCCCTGCTCTTCCGTGTGAGGCATCACTGGACCTTCTCTGGCAGAGGAGGGCAGTGACGGGGGACAGGTGGAGGGGTTGGGGGGCAGCCGCGTACAGCCCCCACCCGTTCCAGCGGGGCTGTCTCTGGACTGGCCCTTCTTCTGTCCACCCCTAGGTGTCAGCACGCCTCTGCCCAGGGCTTGAATGGCACACAACGGGGTGCATTTCCAGGGAGGGGGGTTTGCAACACTTAGGGAATTCAGAGGAGGGTCCCCAGTTGCGTTCTTGCAGGCAAAGAAAATTGACTTCCCTACGAGACTATGGGTCTTCTCTCTTCTTCCCGCATCACTCACTGCGGACGGAGAATTCCGAGTCCAGTCAGCTCTTACTCACAGCATTTACTTTGCCCAGAAGAGAGGCTCCCCCGGTGTTTGGAAATTCGGGTCTCTGTGGGCCAGATGATGAGGGACCCTCCCCGAAAGGTCCCTGGGGTCTGCCCCGGGCCCAGTTTTCAGAAGGGCAGGACCAGCCTACCGCTGAACAATGTGTTTCTCATGATTCCTGCATTGTGCCCTTGGGATTGGATTTCTTCCAGAATTCTTTACCAGGAAGAGCATGAAGGTAGGTAACGTGAGTCTTCCTGTCCGTTTGGAGGCACCCCAGTCCACGTTCTCGTTGATTTCACGTGGTAAAGTCCGCGCGAAGGCCACGTGCTGGGTAAGGGCGTGTGTGAGTGAGCTGCACATGTGTGTGGGGGCTCACACGAGCCGGAGGGACTCGGGCGTTATGCCAGGCACGTTCCCAGGGTGTCTGTAACTGCGGACGAAGATGGGAGTTGGGCACAGACGGCCACGGGGCTGAGCTGGAGAGCGGGCATGCGCCGTCCACGTGTGGGCCCGGCAGTGTGCAGTGCCTGCCTGTTTCCGTGTTGACCGAGTGCATCCGTGATTGTTGCCTGTGTGCACAGCGTTTTCTGAGCTCTGTGGGCACAGGTGTAGGGTAGAACTCTTGCCCTAAATAAGTTCAATACATGTATGTTATATAAAAAAAAAAAGCAAGAGTGAGAGACGGGGAAGTTGGAGAACCCAGGCCCTTCGCCTCTTGCGGGCAGCTGAGCTCTGCAGCTTTTTCGATGCCGGGCTTCCCCGCCTGCCTCCTCCTACCCTGAGAAGTTGGCCCCTGAGGTTTTAGCAAGTCCAGGGAACCATATCCGAAAGATAATGCTCTCAGACGGCGCCTCTGAAGAATTTGGTGCACTGGACGTTTAGCCGGGTGTGTTGGAGTCACACCCTTTTTCCGTTGGCATTTTAAATGAACTCAGATAAAGTTGTAGCAGGCACCTGTAACAGTGTCTTTGCTTACCCTTCCCCATGACGGCAGGGACACTTGCGTCTCATGGGGGCCGGGGCTGCCACCGGTGGGGCTGAGCCTTTGGGTTCTCCTGCTGTGAAGTCTGCGGGTGCCCAGCCCCACACAGCTTCCGCGACCAGCCTGTCACCCACAGATTGGGCAAGAGAGGGTGGACGCTCCTTCCCCGACGTGCATTATGGACGTAGAGGAAACAAGGACGAAAATAAAGTCCCTGAGAAATGCCGACGAGGAGCTCTTTGCCGCACGGCTGGGGCAGGAAGAGCCCACCCGCTCCAGTGCGGCTGAGATATCAAAGCAGCTCCTCAGGGCAACTGCGAAGCTGCTCCTTGACTTCCTTGATTCTCCCCTGCTGTCCTAAATCGCTGCGCTCAGGTTGAGAAGTTGGCCTCTGACACTCCGGCACATCGGGGAGTCCTGTGAGAGTAAAGGCTTGAAGAACATGTGTTGGCTGGTGGGTTGTTCAGATGGGTTGATGGGGCTCAGCTCCCGCGGGGAAGAGTGATGGGAGCCCCCAGAGCGGAGCGAGCAGAGGGGCCTAGCAGGTGCGGATTCCTGTTAGGAGCTCGGGCTCCCGAGTGTCTGGCCACGTACTGGTCCATACATGCCTTCATTCAGCATTCGAGCACAAAGCACCACGCTAGGCACTGCAATGCAAAAATACCAAAAAACAATCCTACCTAGAATAAACTAAAATTTAATTTAAAAAATGAGTTTTTTTTGAGACAGAGTCTCTTGCCCAGGCTAGAGTGAGTGCCGTGGCGTCGTCAGCAGCGATCTTCCTGCCTCAGTCTCCCAAGTAGCTGGGACTACAGGCATGCGCCACCATGCCCGGCTAATTTTTTCTATATATATTAGTTGGCCAATTAATTTCTTTTTATTTATAGTAGAGACGGGGTCTCGCTCTTGCTCAGGCTGGTTTCGAGCTCCCGACCTCGAGCGATCCTCCCTCCTCGGCCTCCCAGAGTGCTAGGATTACAGGTGTGAGCCACCTCGCCCGGCCTAATTAAAAAATTTTTAATCCTAACCAGACACTAACTGGTGATTTCCTAGAGAATCTGGAATCATTTCACAATCCCCACGCTGCAGGAGAGGCTGTGGAAACACGAGGTGGAAGTTGGTGTCCGTGCGCCATGAGAGGCGGATCTGCGTCCGTGCTCAGCGTGTTGGTCTGGAGCCCGCCGACTCGACGTTGTCTCGGAGTCGCCTCCCTGCCCTCACAGCTGCCCCATCAGAATCCGGGAACCGGGGAGCTCCGTGGCACCGAGTTAAAGCCGAGACACCCCCCGGACGAGCCCCCGGGGAGGAGTTTGGAGGTGGCAAGGCCAGCCTGCGGTCCAGCACCAGGGCCTGGAGGGCACTCGGGTGGCTCGCCGGGGTGGGCGCCCCTCCCCGCTGCGGCAGGTGCCTACCGAGCCGGCCACCAGCCTGCCCTGTGCGGGAGGGAGGGTCTCCCATTAACAGCCAGTCAGGTCGTGGTGAGTCTGAGTGATTAGCCGTTTGGCGTTGTGCTCCTTTAGCCCTGAGATTATTTTCCTCCTGGGTTCATGGGACTTTTGCATTCCTCCCGGGCCTCAGAGGTCCCCTCGTCAAGCCCTCTTCCTTGATGCAGAGGGACTCTGGCTCTCCCAACCAGAGTCCCCTGACGCTCTACCTCCCGCCTTCCCCGCTCGGGACAGGACGGGCCAGCGCAGCCGAGCCACGAGGCGCGGGCCCCTCGCTGTGAGCCGTGTACGCCCGCCTTGCGTGGTCGGCGCGAGGGACCTCACAGAACAATGCACAGGATTCTCTCCGTCGCTCGCTCTCTGCAGGGGCTGAGCTTAGCGCTGCCCTTCGGAGCACCCCGGAGAATGCAGCCTTGTCTGGAAACTTGTTTCCTAGTCCGGTTCACTTCAAGTGCGTGAGGCAGGCGGCCACGCCGAGGGGATTCAGTTAGGAAACAAAGAAACTCGACAATGCCAGCTGACACACGGCCGAGAAGAAAGAGAATGCTTGACTCCCCGCTCCGGGGATCAAGCTCTGCGTCAAGTGGCCCTGGCGTGTTCGGCGGGAACACGTCGGGTTCCTGGAAGCTCCAGGAACAAAGGGCGTGTTCCTCCGGGCTGGCAGGCGTGCTCGCCCAGCCAGCGCCACGTGGGCCGCAGCTGCCCGGGCGGCGGGGCAGGCTCACCTGCCGCAGGGCTGCGTGGCTGCTGACCTTTCCGACCTCGCCACCCTGCACGGGCTCCCCTCAGTTCAGAGCACGTTTTTCCCAAACGGAAAGGGTCGGGGCGGAGACGCCTGTGTGCCGATGCGCAGGAACCCTGCCGGTCTGCCGGATCGGGCTGCAGGCGCGGCCGCCCGTTCAGCCTGGCAGCTGCGCCCTGGTGGCTTTCGTTCCTGCTCTGCTTTCCTGCTCGGTGAGAACAGGGTGCTGCCCTTGCCTCTTGCCCGGGCCAGTGCAGGGTTGCCAACCGCCCCACCAGCAACCTCGCTGCCGGCAGGCCAGGGCCCGCACGCAGGGTCTCCCTTCGGTGGGTGGGTGTCTCCGGGGGGCGGGCGCGGGCGAGGATGTGCTCTGTGATTGCCGAGATGCCCCCCCAGGCCCCCACCGCTGCTTTGCCGCGCGTGAACGCCGTGGGCTTTGCGGCGGGAGTTTGCCCGGAGCACTCCTGCCCACGGGGTTCCGGGCGTCCTACGCGCCGGCGTCCCCAGGTTGCTGGGCTGAGAGTTCAGGTGGCGACACCTCTAGGACCCAGCACTTTCTCCCCGTGGGGAAAGGTTTCTTTGCCCCCAGAAATTTTCGTTGCCTTCTCGAAAAATTTTTTTTTCCCATTTTGGGATCTCCTGGTAAAGAGAGACTCCGTGCTCTGCGACGCCAAGCCTCATCCGCAGGAAAGGAAAGGAGACCGGCCCCCGCGGTTCGGCGGGGGGCGTTCCCTAGAGGAAGCGTTCTCTGGGGTGGGAGGCTACCCAGCTTGTTCTCACTCTGCCTCTCGCGCCTTCCAGGGTGTCTTGGCCGGCGCTGTTTGGGGCGCGTTGGTCACTCTGGGGCGGCGCGGTCTCCTGCGGGAAGCAGGCTCAGCCTTCCCAAACCAAGCCTTGCGCTCCCCGCCCGGAGGTGAAGCGGGCGGTGGAAACGCCGCGGGCGCCCGAGAGCCCGTCTCGCCTGCCGGCTGTGGGGCGCCCCGCTCGCCCCGTGCCGCCCATGCGGGGCACACGCGGGGCGCGAGGCGTGAAGCGCGCCCGTGTCTGGGCTACGCGGAGGGTCCCTGGCACGGGCCTCGTGCGCGGCGGGGTGGCAGCCCGGGACGTGCGTGCGCGGCGGCGGAGTGTGGGCATCGCGCCTCCTCTTCCCTAAAGGAGAAAGCTCTTTGCACGTGAGCGTGGCGACTGGTTCGTGGAGTCCAGGGAAAACCGCCAGCCCTGTTTCGGGCGGCCGCTCGTGTGTGTGCATTGGGAAATGAGGCCCACCTAGCGTCTGGAAAG